TCCACCGTCTTTTCTCAGTAAAAAAGAAGTAGGTACATCATTATTTGCATTCGACGAAAATAAAACTATCATCTCATACACTCCAAATCCCAAAAAAGTGGTTCTCTTGCTGTCCACATTACATCATGATAATTCATTAAATGCTGATACAGGAAAACCAAACCTTATACACACCTATAATGAATCAAAAGGAGGTACAGATACGTTCGATCAATCATGCCATTCTTATACTACATCAAGAAAATGCATCCGATGGCCACTAAGAATTTTTTTTAACATGCTTGATGCAAGTGGCATAAATGCAATGGTGCTATTTTCTCTCGCAAATACCGATTGAAAAGAAACTGCATCTAATAATAGAAAATCTTTTCTGAAGTCTTTGGGAATGGCTTTAATTGAACCACTAATGCGAGAGAGACTTTAAATACCTTCTTTACCAAAATCTTTCAGGCAATAAATTTGTGGCATTCTCCAAGTTGAAGACCTTCCAACACAATATCCCACAAGTTTAGTGAAGCAAACTAGGTGTTATCTCTGCAAAGGAAAAGATAGAAAAACGAAGCATGCATGCTCGGCTTGCCATAAAGCATACTGCATGGAGCATAGAGCTAAACTGTGTTGTGAATGCAGTCAGGGCCGTTCCTGGCGGGTATGCAATGAATGCCCCGCACGCAGGCGCTAAATTTTAGGGGCGCCAAATATTTGGTTACCATTAAAAAAATATTCTCACTTCTAAAACAAAAAAAGTCAGTGTTCAGTATTTCCCCGGTAAGTGCTAAAGCAATCACTTCATCCGTTTACTATTCCCTATTATAATACCAAAATTACTAATTAAATTACCACCCTACAATTTTATTAGTGTCAGCATACGACGCGCCGTCTTATGCCGCACGATGCTCACTTTTAATGTTTTGTGTTGCCTCATTCACCCGCGTGGTTGTCTCAAGAAAGGATGCGCGATGCGCTGGCCTCTGACGAAATTGTCGTTTGCGCAGTAAACCGTAACGTTTTAATTCAGTCGTTAGATTTTTCTTATGGGTTAGGGTGGCCGCGCACAGAAAGAGCAAAACTGTTTTAGTCAAAAACGTTTTTGTTTGAAACGAAAACGTTTTTGTTTCCACAAGAAACATTTTATTAAATGGCCAACTATATGGCCTAGGAGACAAATTCGTTAAACTTCCCGTGCTCGAATTGGTATCACTAAAGTGTTATGATCATTTCGGCCTATCCCAGCCATCGTCAGACACTTGGGCTGATACAAATTCAAACTCGGAAAGTAAAACGAATGTCTCCCAATCTTCACTACCGTGTAGTTAGCTTATAAAGGCGCCCTCTATTTTGAAGGCCGTGAACGAAACGATATGAATAATCGTTTTCTGTATCCTTTATCCTATGCGAAATGTGTAAAGAATTAAATCTTTTAGCGAAAGCCGCTATCGCTGTATTTATTAAATGGCCAACTATATGGCCTAGGAGACAAATTCGTTAAACTTCCCGTGCTCGAATTGGTATCACTAAAGTGTTAACACTTTAGTGATACCAATTCGAGCACGGGAAGTTTAACGAATTTGTCTCCTAGGCCATATAGTTGGCCATTTAATAAATACAGCGATAGCGGCTTTCGCTAAAAGATTTAATTCTTTAAGAAACATTTTGTTTGCAAGAGAAACAAAATGTTTGCACAGACCATACTGCAATCAGTTTTATTAAAGATGTCGACATAACGACGAAATTGCACTAGTTTTCTGGCAGTGGTTGCTCCTACAGGACGAAAAAACGCAAACTAAAAGACAATTTTGGGTGTATCCTATAAATGAGAAAAGAACTGCTAAAAAAACTCTTAAGTTTTTGCTCCAATAATTAAGGGTCTTTTAATTGATAGTTATATAAAGGAGGCCTGGCTTCAATCAGTACAATTAATTTTTCTGCGCCGACTTCCATGATACACACAATATAAACAAGCCAAATATCGCTTTCCACATGTGCTTCTTGTTGATTACTCGAGCGGTTTCAAGAAGGGAATTTCAAAAACACGTTGCGCCTGCGTACATTGAAATGTTTCGACACAAAACGACGATCTGGCAATCAACATCAAACAGACTGACTGAAACTAAATGAGCCTAAACATGCTTTAGACACACGACTAATCAGTGTACGTCAGCTCATTTCATTTACATGGAATCATCGACATCAGACTCGTTTAGTCAAAAACGTTTTTGACTAAAACGGTTTTGCTCTTTCTGTGTGCGGCCACCCTTAGGATGTTCTGTTCGCAATATCATTGTCATTAAAGTTTATTGTAAATTGTAAGTTTAAGGCGGCAAATAAACTGCTAGAAGTAAGTAAAATAAGTTAACTTATTTATTTAAATAAAATAAAAATAAATAAGTAACTCTAACTGGAGGCACCTTTCTGTTAATATTTCTCGTCATGAAAATAGCATGGAACGTATGAAAAGCGCTCAAAAATGGCACGAGTTAAAATTGCGTTTGAGTAAAGAATGTACTATTGATAAAAAGCAACAAAAATATTATGAAATTGAAAAACAGCGATGGCGTGAAATCATTAAAAGAATGATTTGTATTGTGCAGTATTTAGCTGGCCAAAATTTAGCTTTTAGGGGTGACAGTACGAATCTTTATGAGACTAATAATGGCAATTTTTTGAAATTAGTTGAAATGATTGCTAAATTCGATCCAATTATGATGGAACACCTGAGCAATATTCGAAGGTCTAAAGGGTTGTGCCAAAATATGCCTCATTACCTGAGCAATTACTTCCAAAATGAATTAATTCATTTATTATCAAAGAAATATTTAGAAAGAAATTCTGAGTTGCCTCAGAACAGCAAGATATTACTCAATTATTTTGGATGAATCTCCAGATACTAGCCATGTTGAGCAGCTGACGGTCATAATTCGCTTCGTTTATTGTTCTGGTCTAGGTCAGGGTTACGACAATGAGGCAAATATGTTTGGCAAGCATGTGGGCCTTCAGGTTCAAATTCTAAAAATTAATCCCAGAGCAATGTTTTTGCCTTGTTCAGCTCACACTTTTAATTTAAGTGTCAATGATGCAGCTAAAATTTCATATGAGACTGTAGGTTTTTTTTTAATTATTCAGGTTGTTCAATTTTTTTTCTACTTCACCCTACAGATGGCACATTTTAAAAAGGAATGTACCAAACTTAACTTTAAAATCAGTAACTGAAACACGATGGGAAAGCAGAGTCAAAGCCATTCGCCCTCTTAGGTTTCAATTCCTCGAAATTTGTAAAAGTTTACACGATTTGGTGGAAGATAATTCAAGAGATATGAACACGAAACATTCAGCAAGGTCACTATTAGACAAAACTAAAACGTTCAAATTCATTTTTTCTATTATAATTTGGCATGATGAATTAACAAAAATTAATATTGTAAGTAAAATGGTCCAGAATCCAAATACAACTTTAAATGAATGCCATACAGAAATAGAAAATCTTATTATTTATTTCACTGAAAAGAGGTCAGACAAACATTTCGAGATTTTCATGAATGAGGCTGTAGCAGAAGCAGAAAAAAGTGATGCAGAGCAAACATTTCCATTATTAAGACAAAGAAAGACGAAGCTTTAATTTTCGTATGAAGGTACAGATAAAACAGTATTCGATCCAAAACAAAAATTTAAGATCAGTTTTTATTTTCAAATTTTGGACACAACAATTCAATCCCTACAAAGACGCTTTGGGGGAATAGATAAGTGCCACGATTTATTTGGATTTTTGGGTAATTTTTAAAATCTAGATTCTGATGTGATTAAAAGATCATGTATGGATTTGGATTTAGCTTTACAAATTCAACATGAAGGAAACGTATGCAAAGATATTGATGGTCTTGATTTACATAATGAAATTCTGTCATACAAAGTTCTTAACCCAATCACAGACTCTGGCAAAATTTCGGATTCGCCCATAGATATTTTAAATTATATAACAAAGAAAAATTTACAATCCTTGTTTCCAAATCTATTTATAGCCTTGAGAATATTCCTGACCCTTCCAATTTCGGTGGCATCTGGCGAAAGGAGTTTTTCAAAGCTAAAGCTCATAAAAAATTATTTAAGAATGTCAATGTGCCAAGAAAGGCTATCAGATTTGGCAGTCATTTCAATTGAAAATAAAATTTGTGAAGCCATTGATCACAATGAAATGATTAATGAGCTTGCATCTGTGAAAGCACGACGTGGCATATTATGTATTATTTAATAAAGTTTTTTTGCATTGAGAGTATCTCCTTTCCGTTATTGTTTCATGTTATATTCCAGAATGCCTTACTAATTTGCGAATTGAGTGTTTTCTTTCTTACTGTTAACTTACATAATAATATTGTTTTAAAATGACCTTTTTTCTTTATTTAATTTTGAAAATAAAACCTTTTTTCAAACATGGTACGTTTTATTTTTCTTTTTACATTCATATCATATTTTCAATCATATCACAAGAACATGTTATGATATAGGTATCTTAAAAACATAATATGGGGGCGCACAAAAAATCCTGCATGCAGGCGCTCACTACCCTAGGAACGGGCCTGAATGCAGTCACCAAAATGAGTGAAATTGAAATACCTGGCTAAGAATGACTATGAGTTCTATAATCAAAAGGTGTTAGATTTTAGTTAGAAAGACCATTTTGTTGTTATATTAAGGTAAAATATTTTGAATTAGGTTTCTGGTTTTTTAGAAAATGTTTGTTAAATATTTTTAAACATTTTTAATATTTTTTTCTTTTGTATTACTACAATTAAGAGAGAGAAAATAAAATGATTGATTTAATGATTCTTGTGTATTCAATAATGACTAGACAGTCCCTGGAAATCATAAAATATTTACTTTTTTATTTATTTCTTCACAAAAAATCAATGGGTATCTGATACCCATATGTGAGGTGTATGTAAAAAAAATAGGTGTGATATTCCAGGGTTAAAAAAAGTATAAATATATCATAAAAGTATGCTTACATATACAAGCAAGTTCCTATAAGCCATTTTCTACAACAGCTACTACCATTCCTTCGTCCTAATCCCTAAAACAAATAAAAGTTAAAAAACAAACACAGCTAACGCAACGCTTGTTATCTTACCATTTTTATAAACAACTACTAAATGAACACAGCAACAAATTAATGATACCGATGTTGCATTATAGTTGAAATAATAAATTGTCTGTTGTAATAGTTGCCAAATTTCGTAAGTTCTTCGATATATGCGATTTCCGGGCGGATTACCGTTGCTTCGAAACTTGCACACCCTGAAATTAAAATTAGAAATTTAAACGACGACGTCGTGTGTTCCTTATAAATGTAGAAATACTGTCAAATGAGTTAAAGAGGTTATAAATAGGCAGGTAATGAAAGAAACTGTTCCCGCTCGGCATGTACAGGGTGAGTCAACCGTGCAAAAAATAAGGATATTGTTAGTATATGCGGATTTTTAAAAAGGAGTCACAATGGCATAGCGATACAAATTTATGTTGGTAAATGGATAGCCTTACATATTAATATACAGTCTGTATACATTTTAAAACATACAATGGGCTATATCATACGAAAAAAAGCAGATATCGAAAAATTCTTGAAACAGTTTCTAGGATAGTAACAAAGATCTAAATTGGCATGAAAGAAAACTCAATGGTTTAAATAATATTTATACAGGGTGAAACAATAATTGTGAACCTTTGGCTTAAATGGAAAATTTAATGAGATTTTTCTTGAACTACAAATTTGTTAAAAATGTCAATTAAGTAAATGTTCAAAGTAGGTTCCATTGTTTTGTAAACAATAACACAGCCTGTTACGTTTGGAATGTCCTACGATTAATTATCGCAAGAGACTCCTGGTTCGAAAGAATACAAAATTAAATTTCTATTACAAAAATTACTTTCGTATTAAAATACACAAATGTGACTTTAAAAGTCACATTTGTCACATGAATTTCATATAGTATAAGAATATATTCAATTTGTTTAGAGTTAGTTTTTAGTCGAATTTATACCACCGAACCGAAGGAAACTGAATAAAACTTTTAAAGTCACATTTGTGTATTTTAATACGAAAGTAATTTTTGTAATAGAAATTTAATTTTGTATTCTTTCGAACCAGGAGTCTCTTGCGATAATTAATCGTAGGACATTCCAAACGTAACATTTGGCGACCGTGACAGGACTTACGTTTGGAATGTCCTACGATTAATTATCGCAAGAGACTCCTGGTTCGAAAGAATACAAAATTAAATTTCTATTACAAAAATTACTTTCGTATTAAAATACACAAATGTGACTTTAAAAGTTTTATTCAGTTTCCTTCGGTTCGGTGGTATAAATTCGACTAAAAACTAACTCTAAACAAATTGAATATATTCTTATACTATATGAAATTCAATACCCTACATTCTCAGACGAAAGTCATTAAAATTAATTGCTTTCACAAGCCCTTAGCCGGAGAGACGATACGCTGATTACAAAAGGGGATTTTTAAAATAAACATATTACTTAAGTATTAACTCGACATACTCCCACCTTGAGAAATTTAACATAATTTCTCAAAAAATAAGAGAGTTACAAAAAATAAAATCATGAAAATATTACTTAAATCTTAAAGGAGTTTTCACCATCCGGCCACAACGCGTATATCTTCCATTTAAGTCGGGTACTCTGCTTTTTATCACTCCCGCACTTTTTTCACTTGGTTCTTCCTCAAACTGGAGTTGACCAACGTTCTCTTGGGGTAACCTCTCTGGAACCGTCTGACTTCCACAAGGTAGAGTATTACCTTGGACATTCTCGCCAGTAGTAACTGCATCGACGATCTCCACCGGGTAAAGCCTTTGTAATGGTCTCAGAAGTTGCCCTTGTGCAGTCGCAAGACGAACTAATCTTACCTGGCCATCCCTACCAGGTATAAGTTCAATAACTTTACCTAAAGGCCACTGAAGACGCTTGATGTTGTCATTGCCGACTAAAACGACATCCCCGATAGACACTTTAGATACCTTCGGCTTCTTCGTTCCTGCTTTGAGTTGAGCCAGATATTCAGCACGAAATCTTTTTCGCAAATGATTTCTCAACTCTTGTAAACGTCGTATTTTGCGTGTGAGAGAATTCTGCTCTAGCAAATCACATTCCGGCAACTCGTAACTGACTTGTTCCTTTAAAAACATACTTGGGGTTAACGCGATTAACTCAGTAGAATCGTCCGAAAGATACGTCAACGGACGCGAGTTGACTATACTCTCACAATCACACAATAATGTCAATAAGTCTTCATAATTGAGAGACGCTCGACCTAAAACTTTTCGCAAAAGCCCTTTAACAATACCTACTAATCGTTCCCAAAATCCACCCCACCATGCAGCTGTAGGGGGGTTGAAACGCCACTTAATACGTTGTGTAGAACTATATTCCGCGATAGTATTCCAGTCCAATTGCTTAAGCGCATTCTCGAATCCCGTAAAATTTGTTCCATTGTCACTATAAACTATTCTCGGTCGTCCTCGCCTTGCAACAAAGCGACGAAAGGCTTGAATAAAAGCATTTGTTGACAACGAGGTAACGAGTTCCAGATGAACCGCACGATAAACGGCACAAGTGAACAAACAAATCCATGCTTTCTCTCCCGATTTCAAGTAAAGAGGTCCCGCTAAGTCCACTCCGGAAATTTCAAAAGCTGTAGTATCCCGAACTCTATCAGCCGGCAACGGAGGCGTTTGTACTTTGAACGATTTCCCTTCTTGTCTCTTGCACACACCACATTCTTTTAAAATGGACCGCACAATCCGTCTACCCCCTAAAGTCCAATATTTTTCGCGAAGCAAACTAAGTAGTCCTTGTGTGCCTACATGACAAGAGCTTTTATGCAGGCTTAAAATTAACTTACGCACTATAAAATGTTCACCCGGAAGTAAGATAGGCAGACGAAAATCTTCCGTGTCAAGTCTCTCAGTAACGCGAGTTTTTATACGTATAAGTCCAAATTCATCGACAAACGTGTTTAGCGAGGAAATTCGTTTCGTATCTGAATCGAACGCTTCGTTCTGCACTAGCTTCAATACAAATATTTCGGCTTGATCGATTTCCTCAGCGACCAATTCACCTGTACGTTTTTTGTGTGAATTTCTTGCATTATAACAAAATCGTAGCACCCAAGCTATCATTCTTAAAAGTTTTATGTACTGAGAAAAGTAATACAGATGCCAATCGTCAGATGTCATATTCAATAGTGACGAACTGGCATTTTTCTTTTTCTCTGTACAGACTTTTTCTTCATCAACTTCTAATTTTTGTTGGGGCCAATCATTTTCTTTTCTGTACAACCATTCCGGGCCCTCCCACCATCGAGAGTCGAACAATTGCCGAACACCACAGCCTCTTGATGGGAGATCGGCAGGATTGAGAGAACCAGGTACATATTTCCAACACTCAGGATTGACTAAATTTCTAATCTCTTGAACTCTATTAAAAACAAAAACAGACCAGTCATCCTTACGTTGAATCCAAGAAAGAACAGTAGTGGAATCACTCCAAAAATAAGACTCAACATATTGAGAAAATTGCCTTTTTACTGACTGATAAAGTCTAACACCAATAGTGGCTGCCAACAGTTCCAATCTAGGTATAGAAATCTTCTTCAAAGGGGCCACACGACTCTTAGCTGCTACAAGGAAAATTGAGACAACATCATTCCGAACCACTCTCAAAAATATTACAGCCGCATAAGCTTTCTTACTTGCATCTGAAAATATGTGCAAGCTCCAATGATCAGCTTCCGTCGGTCCAGCCTCAATCCAGCGTGGAATCTCAATACTCGACAGTTCAGGAAGATGAGTAACCCAATCACAAAATTCTTCAGCCATATCATTCTCGACTGGAGCATCCCATCCCTGGCGCTTCTCCCAAAGTTTCTGTAGCAACAGTTTGGGAAATAGGGATACGGGACAGGTAAAACCAATAGGGTCAAATATACTCTGAGCTATGGAAAGCATCAGTCTCTTAGTTATGGGACGTTTCAATGCCATTTCTTGAAAAGTTTCACTATTGATTTTCAGAGTGTCTCTTGAAGAGTCCCAGAGAAGACCAAGAACCGGAACAACTGTTTTTGTATTACCAGAGGCCTCCCACCCTCTTAAGTCCATCTTAGCTTCCTCCATAAGGGCGGTTGCTTCTGATACAAACACTCTCAACTCATTTTCATCAGTAACACTGGTCACACAATTATCCACATAAAACCCAGTCATAAGCTTTTTAATTGTGTTTTTAGAATATGGATTATCATTACAACATTTCTCCAGGGCCTTTGTTAAATGAAACTCTATAGTGGCACCCAGAAGAAATGGACTACAATTGATTCCAAAAACAACCCTTTTGTGTCGAAATACAAATTCCTTTCCTTCATCGTTCACCCATAGGAACCTCAAAAAATCTCTGTCCTTTGAATGTATAGAAATTTGAAGAAAAGCCTTTCGAATATCCGACACAACTCCTACCCTTTGTTGTCTGAATCGTAATAGAACAGAAGGAATAAGTTCAATAAGATTAGGCCCTACCTCCAAACACTGATTTAAAGAAGGACAACCTTGTTCATGAGATGATGCGTCAAAGACTGGCCTAATTTTTGTGGTTTCACTATTATTTTTAATAACGGGCCTGTGAGGTAAATAATGCACACAATTATTCTCTTCTGGATTATTCACTATTTCAATCACACCCTCGCTCAACCACTCATTGAATATAAAGTTATACATTTCAAACAAATTAGACCTTTTCAACTTATTTAAAGTATTATCTAACCTTCTCCTAGCAACAACTAAATTATCTGAAATTAAAGGATGCTCGTTCAACCAAGGTAACATAACTTCATACCTGCCTTCGCTGTCACATCGTACAGTCTCATAGAAAAAATTCTTAGCCTCTTTGGCTGCCACCTCTCGTGTCATTTTTTCTACAGGGTCGGTTATCCCAATAACATCAAGCTCCCAGAGTTTCGCTACAGAAGAATTATTAACAAACAACGAAAATGTAATCATACTTGTA